GTAACCTTCGCCAATGAAAATCAACCCACAGTTTCCTTCAACATCAACCAACCGCCTTACACGAAAGTTCATAGTGTTGTTACTAACGTACAAAATGTCCTCAAAGCGCAAATGGAAGCACATAAAAACAAACCCATGCTTCAGCCTACTTTAGACACACCAGACGTCTCTGATTCCTGGAGTTTGATTTTACCGTCAATTTTCGGTAACACAGGAGTTGATATTGTTTTGGACAAAGCATCTGGGTCTGTCACAACACCAGAAACAGAAACTTTAGAAGAAAATGTTGAAGACGAAGAAAACTCACTAAGTAAAGAAGGCACCAACCAAGTCATTAGTAGTTCTACAACTCAAGTAGAAGATAAGGTAGTGACTGAGAAATTACCTGCAACGGTGGAATCTAAAGAAGAGCGAGAACCGACCACCACGACAAGTACAACTACCACAACTACGACCACTACAACTACAACACCGAAACCAACAACTACAACTCGTAAACCAACAACTACAACCCGTAGACCTACAACAACGACGCGTAAACCTACAACAACTACCCGTAAACCTACAACTACAACTCGTAAGCCTACGACTACAACTGAAAAAGCAACTACTACAACAACAACAACTACGACGACGAGAACTGAAAAACCAACAACAACCACTACTACAACTAAACAACCCACAACTACTACTACTACCACTAAAAAACCTACAACTACAACGAAGGCTCCAACTACCACTACCACTACTACCAAAAAACCAACTACTTCAACAACCACTACTAAAAAACCGACAACAATAAATGTTGAAACCCGAATAAGCTCTACCGCTACCACAGCTAAAGTTACAGCAAGCCCTCGTCCGACAACTACAGCCACTAAACAAACTACATCTAAACCAGTTACTACAACTACAAAAGTTACTACAGCTAAACCAGAAGTTACTACAAAGAAACATAGTGTAAGCGTTGTGCCTGATAAAGAGCCTGAAAATACCAAAGTCCAAATTCAGCCAAACGCCAATGCAGTTTCATCAACAGAAAAGAATGAAATCGAATTTGAAAGAATCAGCACCTTCATTCCAGTGTCTACTGTCGAATATATAACTGATCGAACTACGCGCAAACCAGAACTAGTGTCTAGTACTACAAAACGGTCTGTGCCAACAACTACAACTACAGAAATCCCAAAAATTGAAACACTGGCAACTACTAATAAGCCTGTTATCAGTACAACAAACTATGTTTTAAGCACAGTTAAAGATCAAGAACAAGAAAAATTAAATGTTACTACTATAACAACTCAGTCTGTATCACCCTCAACTACTGTATCGTCTACAGAAATCGCATCTGCTGACAATATGAGTGAAATGGAAAATAATCCTTCAGAAAATGAGGAATTTGATAAAGAACCTGAACCATTGCTTCCTATGTTCGATGTTGCTCAAAGTATTAGTCAAATAGCATCTGATCTTGGTGGAGGTTTTCAACCGCTCCCAACAACAAACAATTTATTAGATACAACTAAAGTAAATGTGTTTGATTTAGAAAGCAAAGAAGTTTTGGATATGGACATACCATCTGGCAGTGGAAATGAAACTGAAGTTAAATCAACTACAGCTCCCGATACCAATAATGATAATTTTGTTAAAATATCTACCCTTGATCCCCATGATAAAAATGAAAATAAAGAAGATCCCAAAGAAAAAGAAAACGAAAATACATTGAAAGAAGTGCCGTCAAAGGAAACTGAAAAATCAACAACTGAAACTAAAACATCGGAACCAACAAAAACCACAAGTAACGATAATGATAAAAATAACATAATTATCAATAATATCCAAAAAGTAGAGTTATTTACCACAACTGAGGCTGCCATTGAATATAGTACTATTGATCCAATTTTGAGCGAATCCATGGGTGATTTATTATCCCAGGTAGCAAATGAAGCACCACAATCGATAGTTAGTTCTGAAACAACCTCCGAAAAAGATACTAAAGTTACAACAACTGAGGAAAGTTCGTTAATTACGACAAAAGATTCTGTACTAAGTATTGATACAACTTCAGAAATATCTAATAAAGTAAAAAAAGAAACAAGTTCCACTACTGAGACATCAGTAATTTCAACCACAAATAAAGATGAAACAAAGATAGAAAATGTAAAAAGTGAGAATGCTAGTGTGTCATTAGATGAGAATAAGAATGAAATAACAAAAGTTCAAGATCAAAAGCCATTCACTGCAAAACCTGTAGAAAGTAAGAAAGAGGAAAACAAATCCGATGAAAAAGCCGATGATAATAATAATAATTTTGTTCAAATCTCAGTTTCATCTGATAATAAAAATAAAGTACAACAAGTTATTTCTGAAAACAAAAATAAACTAGATAAACCGGTCAACAATAAAGACGACATGAAGACGATCAACAAAGATAACAGTAAAGATGACACAAAATCTAATGTGAACAATGTAAAAGAAAACGATGAGAAAGTCAAAATACAAAATGAAAAAGAAACCAAAAATGGTAACAAAACTGTAGGGGCAAGTAAAAACGACGAAAAGGCTATTTCAAATGAAGAAATTACTTCGTCATCACCTGCTGCAGAAACGACCTCAACAACGACTCCTACTCCATCAAAAATAAGCCAGTCCAAATTCAATAAAATTAATCTTGGTGATAAATCTAGTACAATTAAAAAAGATAAACTTCCCGAACCATTACCAAAAGTAGATGATTTTAAGAAGAAAATACAAAAGGTGAATATTGAAGAAGAAGAGTTAGTCAGTGAAAGAAACAGTTCGTGGAAACTGATACCTACACTCTCGCCTCCAAAAGCCAATGAGATTCCCAAGGACAACATTAAATCTGAGAACCATTACATACCAGATAACAATGAGAACAAAGATATTGTTTTGGAATTTTCAACAGAAAACCAGGGACTAGAAGTAACTACAAAAGACTTAGGTGAAGATATAGCTCGGTTTTCGGAATTATCCAACGAACTAGCGTTTAGATTCTGGAACGTTATGATTGATGACATTGACAAAAAGAGAAGTTTTGTATTATCTCCCTATTCTATTTTCTCAATGTTAGCCATGATCTTCATGGGGGCTAGAGGAGCAACTTCTGGAGAAATGAACGAGATCCTCAAATTAGACGATATGGTTACATTCAACCCACATTTCACGTTGAAAAACATTTCTGACTCGATTGAAACAACTCCAGAATCAGGAGTAGCTGTTTCGGCATTTATTCGAGAACTTTACAGCGATAGGAATAAAGGAAAAATCCTCACTTTCTACAAAGAAAGGGCTCAACACTTTTACAATGGCCATGTTGAGGAGATAAACTTTAAATTGATTAGTGACATAATTAGGAGAAGGACCAACCTTCTTGTCAAGAGGTATACTTGGGGCAAGATTCCAGAGTATATGAAGACCAATAACATCGTGATGCAGCCACCATTAGCCGCCTTCACTGCCAATATTTTCGAGGTGAGTAATTTCTCTATGGGAAATATCTTGCATTGAAATTATTATCTTGAAAAATTGATGGATGGAACACTATACAAATTTTAACTTCACGATCGATACTGATTTTGTTTTGTAGTCTTTCTAATGAATAATGTTGAAATAATACAAAAATATTTGGGTGTGGGAAACTTCCATTTAGGCATATTCGTGAAAATTTATTAAAAGATATAATTCATTATTTCAGACCGACTGCTCGGGCACTTCAGTGGAGGGTCGGGATGGAGAGATGTACTTCGTCGTGTCTCCCAACGTACGTCAACGTCGCCTCGTTCCAGTGCCAGCCGTAGTTTACAAGAGAGGATTTCTGGCTGGATACGATCCAGTCCTCGACGCAACAGCAGCCGCATTAGGAAATACTAACTCCATTATCAGTACACTCTTCTTAATGCCTGGTCAACAAGGAAACGTTGTACATGCCGATGACTTAGAAAAACTTGAACAAAGACTTTTGGATGCTGTGCCGACTACTCCTACATGGAATCGAGTCTTACGTACTTTACTTCCTCGCACAGGCTTGGAACTTCAAATACCAAGATTCTCACACAAATCAACTTTCAACGTATCAATGAGCCTGAAAAAGATGGGACTAAAAGACTTATTTGATGGAGAGCATGCTGATCTAGGTGGCTTGAATGGACCTTCGAAGGATCTTTATTTGTCGGACATGGTTCAGTTGAACACATTCGTTACTTGCGGCGAAGATGGAATAGGAGAACAACATCATATTGAAGAGTATCCCGAGACATTAAGTGTAGCACAGAGACGTCGTGCTAGATGGTTGAACGATTGGGATGAGCCGAGAGACTACCAGAGAGCATTCCACGACCCACACGATGTTGGTGATGCGATGCATTTACCTCTGCACCTGAGGCCAAGACAGGCGCGTCTGCCATCGAGGAGTGCACTGCCAGCTCGTCTAAAATTCGACCGACCCTTCCTCTACTTCGTGAGGCACAACCCATCGGGTATGATATTGTACTTTGGAAGGTACAACCCTCGGCTTCTCCCTTGAAGGCGTTACAAAGACTGTTAGCTTAGTTTAAACAACATTCCTAAAAGGAAAGTGATAAGGGAATACTGGTGCGTGTGATAATGAAAGTTGTTTTATGAGCATTTACGTGACAGTATTAATAAGTGTATCAGCAGAGTAGGCTCGTTAAACGGTACAATGAGCATTGTACAGCTGGACGTACGCTACTCTGTCTCATATCATGTGTGTATAAAGGAATGCTAATGATGAATTATTGTTGAATGTATGCATAAATTGTACTGTAATAGCGAATAATTAAGTAGTGTAATTAAGTAAGTTAGCGTGGAATATTGTTATTTCACTGTCTTTAGTTTCAATTATTAGAATAAATCCGATGTTTTGAGTAATTGTTTGATTCTTTTATTTATGTATCTTTATTTGTCCTTGCTATTTAATGCAATGAAATAAATATTACAACTAAAACATCATAGAAATAAAACTGTGGAACTAGAACAATTAATTATTATTACAAATTCATTTGATTACAATTATTTCCTCTTATGATAGTATTCTCTGCATTCCCTGTAGAATTCCTTCTTTTCAATACATTCTTTCGTAGGTATGACGACCGGACAGTCCTGTAAAATATAACATTACATTAGATACTTATATAGAAATTGATAGCGAGTCATTAGAACTTATTATTCCTTATCGTTTCCAAGCAGATGTAATGACTTTAATGTGCTGTTATAAAAGTCTATATAAATGTAACTTACCACGTTCAAATAATTTCTGAAGCATGATTGGAGGTGGAAGAACTCGCAGGCGTCTAGAGGTAGATAAAGTCTTATGATCTCCTTACAATATGATTTGGCTTCAGTCATAGCATCAGTGAACATAGGATTTAATGATACCCAGAGATCCAGATGAGCATAGAATTTTTGTTCATCCAAGTCCCCATATTGAGCTAGTAGACCATACTTGTCGAGCACACATTTCCAGTAGTCGCACTAAAAACAGTTGAATCAAACTTAATCGCTTTATTTGCTAAGGTGTAGTTAGGGAGATAATATGTATTAACGTTAAAGCCACATCGAAATTCTTGTGAAAACATGGACGCACAATAACCTATTTAAAATCTTGCATGTCTGATTACCCAGTTATTCTTTCTTTCTTTCTTTATTTCCTGAAAAGTTACTTCTTATAATTGAAAATGAATAAGTAGGTGAAACACTTGTCTTTCAATGTAGTATTAAATTAAGTAAATATAAAATAAAATAGGAATTTTGGCCTAATTGATGTTACTTATTTAATGTATTATGTAATCACAATGCATGAATGTATGTCGTATGAAGATAATTTGTGTAAGTATATAGGAATTTCAACATCATTTTCATTATTCACCTTAATATTAATAGTAATGTAAATAAGGAGGCATAAGATATATTCAACCAAAAACATTCTATAAAAACTAACCAAGTCTCGATGGAGCTGATCGTTCATCTCTAAAAGGTAATGAAATCTAGACAAACTCGTGCCACGTCTAATGTTCCTTACTGCGATTTCTTTATTATTATACATAGTTAATGTCGTGTGACTTGGCCGTTGAAGGGTACACAAGGTTGCAAAACCAAGTGCAAGATACCAGATAAAGAGGAAAATTTGCCGGCAAAGCAGGTACTTAGCAACTTATTAGGCACTGTCAAACTCAGGACATATTTATTGATTACGTATTTTAAACTATTCCTTAGTAACGACTTTTGTGACGTAACTCATAATCTTTATTATTGACTACGAGTACGGCAGTTAATTAGGTTTTTTTTTAAATAAACAAAATAAACTCACATCGAAGGCTCGCCTCCGGTAGCCAGTTACGTTGTTCTTTTGATCTACGAAGAGTACCTCCATGGTGCCTCCACACTCCTTGGCAACCTCACGAGTGAAAAATGGTGGGAACACGCAGCAGTTTTTATACTATTGTTAAAAAAATAAGAAAATTATTTATTAAACGCCACACTGCAGTTCCTACACGAAGCACTGAGCAACCGTTTTCTAGTCTACGTATTAGTAGTTCACTATAAAAACACTAGATGGCAATATTCTAAATTTCAAAATAGTCAAAGATAATCCTATTGTTATAATATTTACATGCATTTCCGTAGTTCCAATACATTTTTCTGGGACTGGAGGTAAAAAACGTTCTCGTTGACCAAGTACCTGTAATTATGCAAAAAATAACTACAACTTACTTATCTACAATTTAAAATCCACGATTACTTACTCAAAATTATAGAAATACTTACATTATAAACAAAGGAGATTACAAATGTAAAAATTATCATTACGATTAAACAGATTGTGTGATCGATATTTAATAGAACAGTTTGATTTACGAATGATAGATTTCGAGAGACAGTTGTCGACCGAATGATCAATATGTGTCATAATTGCTGCTTTTATTACCTGTTTTAGTAATAGAAGAATGTTTAGAAAATGAAACAACCCAAATAGACTTGGTAGACAGTTTCAAATCACAATATTTAGAAAAATCTGCAATATGTTCTAGTCATGTTATCATGTTGTATGTGGGAATACGTAGATATGTTAGTAGTTTAGTAGATAGCTGTAGTTAATTTGGAACCGATTTTTCCAACGCCTGATAAATTTTGTCGGAGGAATAATTGGACCCTGTTAAGCAAAAAATATTCAACCCACATTTTATTACTTTTGAGTAAATGAAGTTTAATGTTGGGCAGATAATAAAAAAGTACATATCTATTGAATAGGTACTGTATCATATGAGTTTTTCACAACAAAGGAGAATTCTTAGTTTGGACAACGTTTAAAAAAAGAACTTTTATGTTGAACATTGTTGAATATTTAAAAATTATACATTACAAAGTACAATAAATAATTTTATAAGGTAGACGCACTCGGAACACCAGTTATGACCACTACTTATTGACTCCATCCCTCAAAATCGTTGTGCTAAATATGTGTCAAATGAAATCCGAAAAAAAATTACGAGTGTCTATTCGTATCTATGTTTAGTATCAGTATTAGGGTGCCATTCCAAGCTCTCGTCTTCTTTCCGATAGTAATAAGGCCTGCATTCTTCAATATGTTCATGAAGTTCTTTGCACTCAGAAGTGTCCTTAAATTTACAGTGCTGAAAAGAATTATTATTTGATTGATTAAATAATAGGCCTGTTACCTTACTTATATGTAGGTAACTACGATTATAATATGTAGGTAATTATAAAAATTTGTCTTATTTGGTTTTCTTTTTTTGTTTTTTACTGTTTAGATTAACATAGTATTTTAAGATTATTTATTAGTTTTTACTTATTGATACAAAAAGATGTATTTTACAATAAAATTATTGGACTTCAAACTTCGCTTACATTTTTCATGCCATGTTTTTAAGTCTGATTTTTATTAGGTATTGAGTTTGGTTTAAATGTTGGTAGAAATAGAAATCAATTAACAGCAAAAACAAAATTAAACATATGTCCAAATACTCAAACCTTACTCAATTTAAAGCCGCGCTTAAGTATAGTTCTGTCGCTACAAAGTCTTTGTAAAATGAGAGCGATGGAACGATATTTAAGTACAATTTAAAATTGAGTAGCCTTTAAAAATTAGGGCAATACTCACCCAAATGATATGTGCAGTCAAGCAAACGTATATATGATCTGGATCACAATTGGAGAATTCTGCACTCTCTTTGTACGCGCAATGCTTTTTGGCTTCCAAAATAGCTTCAGTGAAATCAGGGTTGTCTGCTGCCCATTGGTCGAGGTAAATCCTCAATTTCTCGTAATCAACTCGTTCGTCTTCTGTTAGCAGGTTTGATTTTCTCATCAAACACATCCCGTCTTTGCACGCGAGCTGGTAACAATAATTTAAATTAAACTTTTCAAATTTCGCTATAATTAGACTTCCAACATTAACACTTTGTTTCGGTTTTGCATTCTACATAAATAAATGAAATCTCTTCAGCAGTGATACCTTTTATCACCACCTTTTCAAATGAAGAAAAGATGAAAGGAAAGTTAGACACGTTTAAAAAACCATCAATCATAACCAGGGTGGTGTTTGACCACTAATCTCGCCTGGTGGTAAGCGATGATGCGGTTTACGATGGAGCACGCCAACCCATAAGCAACCTATTCCCTCGGGCCTTTAAGGAATTTTTTATTTCTGGAAAGAGCCTGTAGAATCTGGCAAAGATAACAGGACGCACAAAAAGCCTTAATCAACCGTATCATATATCATATCGTATTAATAAAAAGTAATGGAATTGTTTATTGATAGGTTAATGTTGGTTGGAAGATTACCTTCGATAGACCACGTTTCGGTTCTTCATCTTCTTCTATTTTCTCAATACCACAACTGTCCAAAATTTCATCAGAATACAATCTAGGTATCGGACAACATTTGTGAATGTCCGCCTGTAAAAGTAAAATGAACATGGGAATTCATTTCGTGACTTTTTTATTTGACGAGGTTACTCGACTAGTTTCCAGCTAAACATGGAGCCCATGGATTAGTTTTACTTCTTCTTTCTGGTTTGTGAGTTTATCCAAATCTCAATTACACATATCATGATGTTTCAAATTGTGTGTTCATAAACTCGGCTACGATTTAATGAAAAAGATAAATCAATGAATTGATTCAAAAAATGTGCTGTTATGCTCATTATTAGCATCGGGCAAAAATCGGTGAATAAAAGTTATGATCCGAGAAAATGGAGAAAGTTATTTAGTTACATTTCTCGGTGGGTTCCAGCAATGTCTTGGTATCTGTTCTTGATATGGATGAAAAATTCCAAGGTCCTTTAGTTCTCGGGGAGGGAACCGTTTCTCGTGAAGGGTTCTTTCTGTATGACCACATACTAGCTGCAAATCATACACAAAATAATGGCAATTCAAAACTACATCTACTTATGGATAAATATAAATTATGTAGGTGCAATATGCTCACGAATAATTATAATGGCCTCTGATTGGTTATAAGTCTGATTACCTAGTAGCGGGACCAGACATAGTGCTGAAATAATGAACTTTAAATATGTTTCAATACTTACCGATGTGTCAGCCCTTGTGTATGGCGATCAAGACAAGATGAGAATTATTTTGTTAATCAAAGACATCATTGTAGATTTAGACTCACCTTTAAGAAAGTTGATATCAGGACTAGAGTAAAATATGACCGATTCATGATGCTGTGACAATGTTACTGATGTAAGACAACGTCAAATTCTTGCTTTTATGTAGCAACTGACTCTATATGACGATTGTCAACAAGAAATTTCAGAGCATTGTGAAGAAAATACCTCGACTCATATTACGCACATTCTCAACTGTATTGAATTTTTTCAGAATGTCCGTTTATGCAATTCTAATCTTTAAGATGTGAGCTATAAATATGAGTTTCATTTAAATCATGTTCATACGCATTCAGCTATTTTAGTGAGTCTACATCCTATAATATTAAAATCATTATTTGTTATTTAATGCAGCCTTTAAAAATGAATATTGCTTTGCCTCTTATTCTTGGCTATAAATGACAGGAAATCATTAATCGTAACATTCTAAAGTAATTGGTAGGCTGGTGGAACAGGTTATCAGTCCTCAAGTATTAAGGTAGATAGAAGTCTTCAAATATGAGGTCCCTTCAAAAATTTTAGGTATAACAAAGAATTTTATAATGTTTAAATGTTTGAATTCCCCAAAAAGTATTATTTTACAATCCGTTGGAACTCGTAGGGGTGATAAATAGTTGGGGATGTGATAATAATGTAAGTTTCAATGATAGTACTAAGCAAAGAGGTATTTTCCTCTGCAAAGTAGATGCAACTTTCCTGTTGTAATTTTTATTAAAAGATAACACTAAAAAATGCTGCTTAAAACCAACGTTATTTCCTTAATAGCCATCGAGTCTCCAATACAATGATGTCGACCATACTGCCAGTTTCAAGTGGTACGATTGACAAGTGTCGAATGACTTCTCCCGCCCGTTGTGCCAGACTCCTACTGACTAAAAACTACTCCTGCCCTTCGAGCCGGAGCCCCGGCAACCCGGCAAGTCCTGTGGTACGATAATGCCACGTGCCAGAGCCAAGTTGTTATGACTTAATTTATTAAAATTTATTACATGTATTACATAGGATGGCATTATGACATGGGATTGCATCCCTAGGATCAGACTTTATGCTGTCCTTAATCACTTTGTCTTTCGGATTATTCGTCTCACAATCCACAAAAGGTATCATTGAAAATCATTTTTCTTTTATGACTTCAAAATAAAATCCAGCACTGACGTTATTATTTTTTTAACATGAAGTTAAAGAAAATTAAGTCCGTTTTTCAATCATCATTTAAATCTTAACTGTAGAATAAAATTGGCATTTGACAGTTTGGAAGAATTGTCATAATTTCAAAGTTATTCCTCAGTAAAAATATATCTTGGCTTTGGAAAAATCGGCCCACTCGTTGAGTACCGTCATTATAGACACAATTGAAGAACAATAGGTTGCGGTCACCGGTGACCGCTCGGTGTTTGACAGTTTAAAGTGTAAAAGGTAAATAAAACTACATTTTTCAACGATTTCGTAAAATTTTGCACAGGTATATTTACAATATTAATAATAATATATTTCTAACATAAGTATGTATTTTACAGTTTGACTACCGATTACGAAATGTTTTAACGAACTTCAATATCTTTCATTGTTGGTTCCATTTTGCGTGTATAGTACTGTTTGCATTCATTCATGTGTTCTTGCAATGCCGCGCAACCGTCTCCATCACGAAGTTTGCAATTCTGAAAAAATATTAAGTACCTATAATGTTTATTTAATTTGATACTAGCTTCTGCCAGCGGCTCCACTCGCATTCCCGGGGGTAAAAAGTAGCCTTTGTATATTTTTCAGATCATAATCTATCCCTGTTCTGAATTTCATGCCGGTCCCTTTAGCCGTTGTGATGTGACTTGGTATCAAAAATACACATAATTTCGCCGACCTTGCAGTTACAGAGTAACTATAGACTTTTTTATGGGATAAGCCGGAAAACGAGCAAACAGATCCCTTGATAGTAAGCAATTGGTGTCGCCTATAGTCACCTGGACCACCAGGGAAGAGGATTCAGGGATTGAGGACACTGGAGAAGAGGTGAGGGGGCTCAGGTAATCTCACTGAGACGACGAAACGAAACACAATGCGAGCGTTGTTTAACCTCAGTTTTCTGTGAATGGTATCATTCCCGTTGACCCCGTTCATTCGTGCTAAAACATATTGCTCTCCTATTCTTGAGGAAGGAGGATAATGGAAAACTTACCCAAAATATTGTTGATGTCAGGCACAAGAATAATTTATCCGGTTCACAGATTGGAGGGACTTCAGGCCCACCGTCTTGAGCACATTCTTGCTTAGCAATACGTATTGCGTTAGCAAACTCCGGGTATGATTCCGCCCAGTTGTCTAAATATTCCCTGAACTTCACGAAATCCACGCTATTATTTGCAAATAGTAGATCGAACTTTCCCATTACGCAATATCCTTCTTTGCATGTACCCTGCAAAAATATAGGTTGGTAAAAAATGCACCCTTGGGAGAGGCTTATGTCCAGCATTGGACGAAAACAGGCTGTTAATGAAAAGCTGCATTACAGTTGATTATCATCTGTTTATCTATCTACTGGCTGTGCCCGCAACTTAGTCTGCGTTTTACAAAAATAAAAGTAGTTACTCCTAAGTACATCAGCTACCTGCTAATAAACTTTCCGTCAAAATTGGTACAGCCATTTTAGAGATTAGCCAATACAGACAGACAAAATGGTAAAAAAATATATTTTGGTATATGTATCATTATCACATGCACATGCATATGACAGTCTACATAGTAAAAAGTGGTTATTCCAATATTACAAACAGACACTCCAATTTAATTTATGAGTATAGTATAACGATTACAATATTTTTATTTATGTACAATGATTTTGTACGACTGCCAACTTGGCAGTGCCAAGCATGAAGTACCTTTACGTTCGATACCTAGATCTGACTTAGTGTATTATGTAGATTTTTCAATTCAATTACCCTGTAAATTACCTAATATAATTATGGTTTTCGGTTATATTAGGCTCAGAAGAATAACACGTGGAAAGGTTAATTTAATACGCACTCTTGCACCTCTAACTATCTCATCGAGAAATTGTTCTGTGTACATTTTAAAAACTCTTACACCTCTAACTACATCATCGAGAAATTGTTCTGTGTACATTTTAAAAACTCTTACACCTCTAACTACATCATCGAGAAATTGTTCTGTGTACATTTTAATTGATAGATAGTGTAAAACTTACCTCTGGACGAAAGACAGGTTTTTGCGGTTGGTCGGTATTTCCGGGTGTTTTTTCGAAACCACAGCTCTGCATATCTTCATCTGGATACAGTGTAGGAATGGGGCAGCAATTGTATACATTTATCTATAATACAAGTAATTGTTACGTTATTGCGAAATCTAGAAGACGACCAAACTTGTCCTCATCCCACATGTCGCCACTAAATTGTATTTTTTTATGGTTTAAGCCGGTAAACGAGCAGACGGTACACCTGATGGTAAGCAATCGGCGTCGCTCATAGACACCTGGAACACCAGAGGCGTTACAAGTGCGTTACCGGTCTTTTGGGAATAAGGAGTTTGAGGATCGTTGGGGATTCAGGGATTGGGGAGGTTGGGGAAAGGGGAGGGTAATTGGGCCTCTGGTAACCCCACTCACACGACGTATCCTCTGTTTATTCTATTGTCTTATTGGATTGGACTCTTAGTCGGATGTCTGCAGGAACAATGGTGTTGGAGTATGTTCTACTCTCGATAACCAATACCAATAAAAGTAAAAAAAATATAATTACCCGTTGTGGAGGGACCCAACATCTTTTTGGTATTCTCGGTAAAAATTGGCGTCGATGTGCGGGTCTTTGAGGAGGGCCCCATGGCTCTGGAGGACCTGACTCGAAGACAGGCTGTTGAGCGAATAGTACCTATAAAATAAATACAATAGTTTACGGTTGGCGCAGTGGCGGGGTAACTAGCTGCCATGCACTGTGTGGCGGGTTAGATTCTCGCCCGGAGTTGTGCGATCCAAGTTTTGTCATTCAGAAATTTCTTGGTATTAATATTGACAACAATTTGACTTGGCGATCCCAGACAGACGAAGTATGTAAAAAATTAAACAAATTTGCTTATGTTCTCTATAAATTATCAAAAATTGTAAACTTAGAATCCGTCCTGGTAGCCTATCACGGTTATGTTGTATCAGTACTCAGATATGGCGTAATATATTGGGGTAATTCAGTAGATAGGGAATCCGTATTTAGAGCACAAAAACGATGTCTCAGAGCGATGTGTGGCCTTAACAGCAAGGAAAGCTGTCAACCGTTTTTTATTCGCCTAAAAATTCTTACCTTGCCATCGTTATACATATACGAAACTAATGTGTTTGTCAAAACTAATCTCTCACTATATAAAATAGCCACTAAAAGCTACTACAGAAAATTACGCGACAAGAATAAGTCAGAACTTGAAGGAACTCATGGAAAAACTGCGTTAATGAATAAGAGTATCCTCAGTATGGCCCAAAAAATATTTAACAAACTACCTGAGACAATAAAGACGTTAAACTTAGACAATTTCAAAAAAGAACTATTGAAAATTTTGATAAATAAGTGCTATTACTCAGTAAAGGCCTATTTGGACGACAATTCTAAATTACTACCTCAGACAATAGCGCACAACCCCATTTGTTTTGATGTTTTGAATTTTGTTTGACATTGGCCTATATGACATGTAACTTTAATCGTTTTTGACATTTTATTGAATTAATTCTATTTTATTTGTAATGATATGTATATGCGTATTAATATCTGTTAATGTTATATTTAACGCTAAATAATATGACACAAAAATTAATCTCTCTAGACAAATTGTTAAATCTTGTTAATATTGACATTACTTATGACTTATTTGATGATCCTAATTTTATTTGGCATTAGTATTGTATGACATGTTACTTAATCGGTTTCAATTTAATTTACAATTACAAGTGTCAATTAATTTTTAAATGATGACAATGTTAAATAATTTTAATTATATATAATATTTGTACGCCTCTGGGCAAAACATGGAGAATCTGCCTACCTGTAACACCTCACATACCTATGTTTACAAATAAAAATATTCTGATTCTGATTCTGATTCTGATTCAGACATTTATATTTTTGCGCAAAAAACGCTTCCACGACATAAGAGAAATCCTATAGTAGACTTACAAAAAAAAAAAAAAAAACAAAAGTTAAGATTTAAAAAAAACCTAAAATGACCTTCAAAAATCATTAAAAGATAAAATAAAAAATGTAAAAACGTTATATTATGAGTAGGTTATATTTTATAGCTTGATAGTGTATTGCTAATAGATATGGCAGGTGTTTCAGAAGTCAACTTATTTAACAAATTTTCAGGATTGTACCATGGCTCTATGTATTGAATTAGAATCTTGATGATGTTTTTTAGCTAATCAACCATTCTAAAGTGTCCATTTTAATCACATGGCAAATCAAATTGAAGATGAAATTATAACAATTATTTTAACGTATCTATTTGCATAGTCATAGCATAGTAGATTATGTCTTTTTAATTATTTTTTCTGGCTTAAACTATTTCTTTTAGATGCTAATATGTAAACAGTTTTTTATTATCACATTTTTTTTAAACTGTCAAACACCAAGCGGTCACCGGTGACCGCGACCTATTGTTCTTTAATTGTGTCTATAAAACCGGTACTCGACGAGTTAATCGTTGCCCCACAATAGGATTTTCTCCTGTGTCGTGGGTGCAGTTACAAACATACAAGTTCACATACACATGACACCCAGACCCGGAACAACAATCTATGGATCACACAAAGAGTTGTTCCGTGCGGGAATCGAATCCGCGACACGTTGCGCGGCAGTCAGTTGCTCAGGCACCGCGTCAACCGTGCAGTCAAAAAGTCAACAATATTTTAACATTTGTTTTTATTTGATATTAATATAGTATTTTTTTAATTCTTACCTGAACCACAGCACTTAGTACTAATAAACTTGATGATGTTATCATGATGTTGTTTTGGGGTGGAGTGATGACATGACGTAGCCACCAGCTTGTTTTATACCGAGTGATTGTCGGCCATGAGACTATTGTAAGCACGGGAAACTACCAAGGTATTGAGCAGAGAGTAATTTGTGTCCATAGTTGTTTTGCAGACACGACAGTATGTGAAAATGCTTGGTGCCTTCGTATTGTTTGGTAAGACAAAAATGCTTTTAAGTAACATTGAATTTTTAACCGACTTCCAAAATGTATGTGCGGATATTGTAGCGGTTTTCAGAAAAGTATGAGTAGAGTATAGTATAGTAATTAACTTAATTAAGGGTTGGAGTCGGGTTTGCGAACTTGGTTTATGAAATAATTCTCCAAAATGTTACTGTCAATATCCATCAACACCCTATAAATGTCCACTGCTGAGCAAAGTCTCTTCTCACACGGAGAAGGTTTGAGTATTATTCACCACGCTTGTTCAATGCGGGTTGGTGATCTGTCAATATCATTATGTACTTTTAAACAGTCAAGTTAAACAAAAGTACAAAATATTTTATACCAATAGAATAGACGTGTGACAATGTACTAAAAAGGAGACCCGTTATTAAACACTTTCTTGATAATAATATTATTATTTCAGTAGGTTAATACCAAATTATTCCATGGTTCTTAGGTTTAAACTCTACGTATGTGAAAAACATATTTAATCGGATCAGAACCGGCAGATGGATTCTCTGATAAACCCGATTCTTTTGAAGAACAATCTCCAATTCGCCTGCCAATCGTGGCGAATATAGCAAACCCCTCTTTTCTATAGGACACATTCAAAAATATTTTGTAAGTGTATAGAAGTAAGACTCAATATGACAAATATCCAACTAATTATAACCAGCAGTGGATTCTCACTCACTAGTAAGTAAGTAAGTAGTAACAAAGATCCTATTTTTTTAGTTGCATACGGATCACCTGTAAGCAATCGGCATCGCCTATGGACATGAAATAACAGAGGCGTTACCAGCCTTTTGTGGATTAGGAATTTGAGGATTGGGGAGATTGGGGAGGGGGCAGCTGTAATTGGGCCTCCGGTAACCACATCTATCAGTTCTGTTCTCAATTCTTACTCTTTGGCCAATTAATAAATTGGTAGACTGTGAGTAATAAAAACATGTAAATCTACGCCTATACTTATTTAATTGTTTTCTGTTTGTACACTCAGGAATGTATACGAAATGTTGTTTTTTGCTTGTTATTGGTCAGTTCGGTGTTTTGACGGACGACACTTTAATACTACATTAATTGTTAAATTTTTAGGTTAAATGGTATCTGCAGTATAAGTATTTTTTTTTCAATTAACTGTGTGTGTTAGTGGTGAAATTGAAAGTAGAAAGTTTAATACTCTATAATAATTATAATAGCTCTATAATAATTACAATTATAATATCTAAAATTATTATAGCTCACTATAATAATTTTAATGTTATAAAGTAACCACGTTGTAAATTCTTTACTTTACTATACTTTTATAGTAAAAAATAAAGTTGCTGCAGAAACCAAGATATTGGAAATTTTCTTCCTGACGATTTAAAAGCACTTTGTCGTACCAGACAGTCGAATTCTGGTACGAGAAAAATATTCTTAATTACCAAGGATAATTGTAAGTAATGTAATTAGTAAAATATACTTAAAGTCATTGATAACATGATAACATGAGAACATTCTTTTACTTATTTTGGCAAAAAATACAATCGAATACAATAGATTCATATAAATATTGTTACTGACTATCATGTGTGAAAATGATTATAGAAATACATAACATAACATCATGCCTTTTGTACCCGAAGGGGTAGGCAGGGGTGCACATTACGGCACTTATTGCCACTATACAATGTAACAACCACTTTTCACAATTTACGTTATGAGTCCCATGTAATAGGGGGTGAACCTATTGCCATATACCGCGAACAACTCCAGGGTCCGTGCTACCTACTACTGAGATTTTTTTAAAACCCAGAAATACTTTGCCCTATCCGGGAATCGAATCCAAGACCCCTTGTCCGGCAGTGGCACTTATTATGTGACACGTGCATGTTATTTTATGTTCCTTAATAAAATTACGTAGTCTGGAATTGTAATTAATGTATGTAAATTGATTCTTTATCAATAGTAAAGTGAACCCATATAAAGATTGAAAAAAATAGTAGAGGTAGTAGTGAATTCGTTTCAAAAAATAGTAATGATTTTAATAATCGATAGAATCGCATCGGCCACAAAAAATGCTAACAAATATACAGGAAATTTAAGTCGATGAAAAAATGTATTTCTAATTTAAAATAAACGTTAAAAGCCGTTAATATGATCCTCAAATTATAGTATCAAATGTTAACAGCTTATGGGAAATAAAATATAAGTAGCGTCAACGAAAATTTATATCTTTCTGTTTCAAAATATTTTTGTGAACAATACACCGTTACATTTTTTTTATAACATTACGCCTTTTATCCCCGAAGGGGTAGACAAAGGTGTACATTATGCCACTGTACAATGTAACACCCACTTTTCACTATTTATGTTAAGAGTCCCATGTAATAGGGGGTGAGCCTATTGCTATATACCGGGCACAATTCCAGACTCCGTGCTACTACTGAGAATTTTTTAAAAACCCAGTAATAGTTTGCCCGACACGGGAATCGAACCCGAGACCCCTTGCCCGGCAGTTGCACTTGCGACCACTCGGCCAACGAGGTTTTTTTAATTTTATGAATATGTTGGTAGAGGCTTATTCAATATAGCGAACACCCAATTTTCATCATATGTTAAAAGATCTATATAATAAAACGTGATTTTTATAACTGCGTCGGCACTCGTATAGTCTAGTTGTGTTTTTTGTAGTGGATATTCGTTATATTTTCTGCACTAACAGTTGATTACGCTTAAGTGCCACAGGTGTGCACCAAACCCTACATGTAACCTAATTCGATTGCACAATCACTGAAAATTACGTAAACATTTCTCACTGTAATAGGCACTGAATGCTAGAAAATAGGATACTAGAAGTAAGTAAGTTGACAAGAAAAGCAATAGAATGTAGTTACGTTATTTACTTTCAAAATCTACTTATTTTGAAAAGAAATAACATAACGACAAAGATAAAGTTCCAGAATATAATGTAACACCTTAATTGAAAACATTAGTCCCTCCAGTCCAAACGTCCGTCCTGAGTTTTAATAACCTTAGAAAATCGTGTCTGTTCTTCTCCTTTTGATACTAACAAACCAACTTTTTAAATAATAAAAACAAAGCACACTAGCATATATATTGAACTGACACCTGTCCTAATGGTAGTAAGGATTAGGAACTAAAAAAATTAATGCCATAATCAAAATAGAACTCTCCTAAAATAAGACTTGATATTTTGGAATACAGATACCAACGATAAAGTCAAGTCAAACTTAATAACTGTACTATTAATTGAAAAACCACTTAAGACAGTTTCAACTGCATTTAGAAATGTGACTCTTTAGTTTTTATTCAGCTTAGTTGCAGTAAATGGTCCATTAGCACCCTTAGAATTGTCATTAGGTTCAATAATTACGCCCAGTTGAACGTGATCCACATTTCCTTGCTGTAAATCAAGATCTTTCCTTACGTTAGTATCTTCAGTAATTTCCTCAAAAGAAGTGTTGAGGTTCTTTATCAAGAATCTTTTGATGCAATGGACGTTTAATTCTTGAGCTGAATACAATGGATGTTTTCGAAAATGTTAACTATGTATAAAACCTGTCAGAAAAAGTATGAATCTAAAGTTTAGACTGAAAGTCACCAAATATATTTTAATGTACCTAAATTATTGTAATTTAGGTGACCTTTTTATTACCAGTTATTAGAAATAGATTTTGTTTTGTAAATGCTTAAAATCCATTGAAAGAGACAGTTACACAAAGGTTACAAAATGAATATAAAAATATTTTTACTGTATAGATAAAAAAAATTACAGTCCAGGTTATGTTTTTGTAGCAATACGAATAAAAACAATAACTTTATGCTTCTATAAATAGATCCCGCCGCATAATAATGCCTCGTCCTGTAGCTTTTATAAAATTATAGGTCTTATCTTATTGTGTAATTCATATCTACATCTTTGAATTGTTCAAGCAGTAATTATATCACTTGCAATATCTATGCAGTTGCAAATTAGTTAGTACAAGTTTTTTATAGGCACAGAGTTACGCATCTTGTTTATCAACAATGCCCCCATAATTTGTTGACTTCATGTACTGTGTATATTGTGTTACTAATTACTTACAATCAGGAACATAAAAAGTGAAGACCTAGTCAAGACTGCATCTAAGTCCAATAATATTTTATTAGTTTTGGCTGTATTTATGATAATTCATAAGCATCATTGATAACAAGGTCCTAAGTTTAACTTCAGAATTAGAAGCGGTACTTAGTTTTCAATTCTTTTACAAATTCGCTTCAATACTCTATCTATTTTTTAAACACAGAAACTAGAAAGAAAGAAGTAAGCATCAAATCCAAATCTAAATAAATCTTTACACAGCCCATTTAAACATCATTATAACAATCAAAGGCTAATTACTCACACAAAATCGACAGTTAATTAGCATTAAATCGGACATAATAACAACAATAGCCATGGAAGTATGTCGGATGTCCTCAAGGAGGCCTATGATCACGGTGAGTGAATCAGTGTCAAGTAGACTCAAGACCTTGGCTGGTGTAGACGACGTATTATTACGCAGGTACAATGAACCAACGGATAATACTGTGTCATATACTCACATTAACTTATTGTAGAAGAACTTGAGATAACGCAATCGGTGTTCCACAAGGATCTGTTCTTGGACCTCCCCTTTTATTGTTTGGCTTGAGCTGCAACATACAAAGGATTGTGCATCGATATATTTAGTTTTGATTGACATTGAATTGATAATTATCTGCGATTCTTACATCAGATATATGCATCCTGCATATGTGATTAATTTATGTTCTAT